TTCCAGTGAAATATATTTATGTTTGTGGTTGTAATGTGACAAAATATGGAAAAGTTCAAGGGGTATGAATACTTTTGCAAACCACTGTATACACTTATGGACACTGGAAAACAAAGTTAAAAGAAAGAGAAAAAAATCAATTGTTGCTTCTCAGAAATATTTGATTTTAAACCAAAAATACAGTACATCTACATATGTGTTTCTCGTTTTCAGTTGTCGCTTGCCTATTACCACAAATCCCAGCTGTCGTGTGTGTTGACATAGTAAAATTAAACAATATGTATCTGCAGTGGGAGAGAGATAGCAAACCATTTAGTCATACGATTGCTTTTCTCCTCTTTGATTTCTCTGTTCCATATTTAAATCACTACATTATTAATTATGTGGCCGCTGTAGATTGGTGGTCAGTGCCATGGTCTTGTAATCCTGAGACTGCAGGTTTGAGCACAGGTTGCGTCAGGACTAGCAGCCGGCATGAAACAATTTCCAAATCTTTCATATGAGTTCTTTGCTGTGGTGACCCCTGCAGAAGCTAGCAGCTGAAAGATAAACACTATTAGTCTCAATTTTATGGTTATAGTTACAGTWATGGTGAGTGGGGATGGATAAAGAACCCATAAGAGTGTGGGCCTTGTAAGTAGGCTCATTGCTCTCCCCAAAAGGACACTGAGCTTTATTCAAACCTTTGCGTCCCTCGGGTGACGGGCACGAGGAGAAACACTGTGTTCTGAGTTTCTAGGGATCCATAAAGGGGTCTCCAAGAATTATTTTCCTTTGACCACTCAGAGCCAGGCAGTGATCTAAGTGGTGCAAAGAGGTCTCTAATTCAATGCCACAGGCATCACACAGACCATTGTCATGGAGTCATATTATCATCATTTTGTGGTGGTTGAGCAGATTGTGCCAGTTAGGACTCCAACCAGTGTGCTTGGAGTTTTCCTTGACAGGGAGATGAGAACTTTCCCAAACCTTAGATTTGGGCCGTTAATCAGTTCCCATGCCTGTCTACAGTCCATCAGCTTCCTCCAGCAGGTTGAGTGTTGACATCTAATCCAGGCCTGTAGGACAGTCCTACAGACTGTTGTTGAGATACCTACAACAGACTCTGGCTCTTTGAAGTGGACCTGACTGCCAGCTTTTAAAGGTAGTCAGCTCTCTGGTTACCATTACGTGGTTCCCAGTTAACAGTAACACTGTTATCTCTCTCCTTAGTTGATTGATGCTTCAGCACACTCCCAAGCCAGTAATGAYGTAAAGTGTGGCCCTTGAAGATCTCTAATAGCAGCTTGACTATCTGTTGGGATGAATATTTCCTTCTGTGTACACTGAAGGTCTTTGAGAGATGCCACACACTGGTGGATTGTGTATACTGTATCTCGGCCTGAGATACATTTGCGAAACCACCTAGTGGGTATCTGTACTCTGTCTCACTATGGTTGTGCAAAATCAGCACCCATGAACCTACTGACCCCATCTGTAAAACAGCAGAAATGATTGGAGACATGTCCACCATAGAGAGGTTACTCCAGGCAGATCTATCTATGGTCTGTCTTAAAACTTGGCTCAAAATGATATGTTTGGACTATTCTGTCTGCAGGTCCTTCAGTTACTGGAACAGCAGCACCCCAGTGACTACCTGCAGTTCTACAACGCTGGTGTAGGCAGATTGCTGCCTTCTTACACTTTTCATTTACATGTCTTTTCCAGTTAAGCTTTCTGTCTGGATAGACACTCAAACATTTAACAGACTCTGACAAGAAGAGTTCTGCATCCTCCAACTTTCCACTCACTTCGTACCAAATTTGGCCAGCCTCTACAATGTATATCATTTATTCTCCCATAGCATACTTTTGAGATGAAGACTGGCAAATTCATCTGAAGCAATGTTGAACTTCTCATACTTTATTTGTAACAATAAGGTAAACTGTAGCTTTGAGGAAACCAGAGTCATTTTAATAATAATTACTTTCATCAAGCTTCTAAATTGCTTGCCCAGATTATTCAGCTCAAAAGCAGTCAGTTCCAAAAAAAGAAGTCCCAGTTTATTGATTTGGAGCAGTTTTTCTTCCGAAACAAATTGTCTAGTAATTCACCATTATCTCAAAGCTTGGTAACTCCTCTTGAGTTGTTCACTTTTTCTTATACCGTGCTACTGAAACATACTCTATCCAAGCAGAATATTTATCTATGTAGGTGCGAGGAGTCTGCAGAGTTCACTCAATGGGAGGCTGGGTGATCTGTGATGCATTAGAAAAACACAGGAAAAGCTAAAATCCCTTTGAGTTCGAAGTCAATAGCTGAAAGATTGTACTTAAAATTTATACTCTACAGTCTCGGCAGTCTGTTATTTGACAGACGTAGCAGATCAGGATGTTTTTAGTCACCTTCAAGTTTTAAATTGGAATTAAAATGCTGTGATGGATGCATTGGGCCTCATGCAAGAACATGTTCGTATTCTTATCCTAAATTTCTCTTACTTTTGTTCGTACAAAGGGTTCGTACG